GGACTCAATAATTGTTAATTTCCCACCTACCTGCTTTCCTTCTTTCTTCAAGGAAGAAATCAATAAATGTTTACTGGATTTTCGGTGACTCCTTTCATGCAATGATTTTTTGACTACTTTTTAGTGGTTCTATACATGGAGGCAAGTGCTCAATATCAAGGTGACTTTGACAAACTGTTCTCAATCTCCAAATGGAATAAAATGCAGTGTCCTCTTAGATCGGAAACATAAAGGAATTTGGTAGTTCAGAGTAATTGCCCAGAAAGTGGCTCCCTCGTGGAAATCCCGCTGACAAACAACAAGCCCATGTGGGACTTTGAACGTGGACACTGGATTTCAAAGACAAGGATGTTTATGTTAAAGCAAAGAGGGCTCAAAAAGTGATTAACTGTTGGGAAGGCCTATCAGAATTTGCATAAAAAAGATTGAATTTGAGAATATTTTTAAGCACTTATTCTTAATATTCAGTTCAGTGGATCCTAAGTATCTACTGATAATATAAAAATCGCAGTTGCTTTTTTCAAATGAGTAGGAACGCTTAAGTCAAAAATTAGGATTTTCCTAATTTTACCTTCCACTTCCATATATTTTATTTATTTATTTATTTATTGCGGTACGCGGGCCTCTCACTGCTGTGGCCTCTCCCGTTGTGGAGCACAGGCTCCGGACGCGCAGGCTCAGCAGCCATGGCTCAGGGGCCCAGCCACTCCGCGGCATGTGGGATCTTCCCGGACCGGGGCACGAACCTGTGTCCTCTGCATCGGCAGGCGGGCTCTCAACCACTGCGCCACCAGGGAAGCCCCACTTCCATATATTTTAAAATTTGTCTACAACTGCTTGCTTAGACTAGAACTTGACATATATCAATTTGCAATTTATTGCAAAATGATACATTTAGTTATTTCAGGATATCATTATTTCATGAATTCTCAGTGTTTAAATACTTGAACAGCCTGAGAAATGCTGTTATAAAAATATAGTTTTCTTACTTTAGACATGGTTCAGCAGATCAAAAAAAGGAAATATTTTGTTGCCTAAGGGTTAACAGGGGACCTGCTTTGTCCAAAGGTAAAATTAACTTAAAACCAGCGTTTACTGTTATATGTCTCTGAGCAACAGTGAGCACAGAGCTGTGTCTAATTCATTTTTGCTTTTCTGGTGTCTAAAGCAGTGCCTGGGACAGAGTAGGGCCTCAACACGGGAGCATCTTACGTAGAAATTGCGTGTATAAAAATAAATGCTTGGGCTTCCCTGGTGGCGCAGTGGTTGAGAATCTGCCTGCTGATGCAGGGGACATGGGTTTGAGCCCTGGTCCGGGAAGATCCCACATGCCGCGGAGCAACTAAGCCCGTATGCCACAACCACTGAGCCTGTGCTTTAGAGCCCATGAGCCACAACTACTGAGCCCATGGGCCACTACTGAAGCCTGCATCCCTAGAGCCTGTGCTCCACAAGGGAACCCACTGCAATGAGAAGCCCGTGCACTGCAACGAAGAGTAGCCCCCGCTCGCCGCAACTAGAGAAAGCCTGCATGCAGCAATGAAGATCCAACACAGCCAAAAAATAAATAAAAATTAAAAAAAAAACAAATGCTTTGTTTCAAAAGTGCTTGAACAGTTTATTCTAAGAACCTTGAAGATACAACCTCAAACTTTGTTTCCCTCATTAATTTTTTTGTGTGGAATTCTGCCTCCGTTTCGGACTCAGTGCCACCCATTCCCAGGACCTGGCACTGAAAACTCAAAACTATAGGAGAATTTTGCTTTCAGCCCATCCTATTTTACAAATGAGTACACATGACCATACTACTGTGTAGTTTATACAAAGTTCTGCGTTGGGCAATGTAGGGCTATGGGCGTTAGTGAGGTACCATCCTTGTTCTCAGGGAGTTAATGTTGTGGGAGAGAGATAGATACAAAGGCAACTAATTATATTGCAAGGCAGAAAGGAAAACTGCTGTAGTGAAAGTGTAAACACGATGCTGTGGTTGCAGAGTGGAAGGAGGAATTAATTTGAACCAGGAGGATCCGAAACAAGGAAGGAAAGAAACTAGTATTTATTGAGGGCTTAAAAGGTACACTACCGAATGTAAAATAATTGGCTGGTGGGAAGCAGCTGCATAGCAGAGGGAGATCAGCTCCGTGCTTTGTGACCACCTAGAAAGGTGGGACAGGGAGGGTGGGAGGGAGGCTCAAGAGGGAGGTACGGTATGCGGACATATGTATACACATGGGTGATTCGCTTTGTTGTGCAACAGAAACTAACACGGTATTGCGAAGCAATTATACTCCAATAAAGATCTATTAAAAAATAAAGGTGCCAAAGGCTGGGCTGGTGCTTTCAGGCTCTGGGAGCAGGTGATGTTTAAAGTGAGCTGGGGGCTGAAAGGGGAGGGCTGTAGGGGTGTTTGGCCACTGGGACGATGTTGGGAAGGTGTGGGTTCAAGAAGTGAAGAGACCGTGAGAAGACACCTTTCCACTGACCCTGAGGGACGGAGCCTGGGCCAAGGAGGAGCTTCAGCTTGAAATGGTTTGGTGGGAAATGGGGTTTATAAGGGGAAGCGGCTTTCTATTATAGGAAGGAGGTGGTGGGAGAATTCTAGGCAAAGATTAAGAATGTTAGTAAGAACAGGTCCGGGGTGACAGGAGGACGAACAAAAGGGAAGGGAAATTAAGAGGAAAGACAGGGCCTGCATTTGTGTTGGTGTGGATGAATTTCGGGGGAGGAAGAGCGCAGGGATTTGGGGGTAGACTGGGAGTTGTGACAAGGACACGTATGGGAGTGTCTGTTCAGTGGGGGAGAATGATTCAGTCCCAAGTTTCCAAGAAAAGCAAAAGCTAGTGGATGTATCTGCTTGCATTGTCCTTTTGGGTGCCGAGTGCTCCGCTATGCTAGAAGCTGTTGGCTGGTCCCTACTGGAGAAGACAGCAAGTGTCCGTCAGTCAGTCAGCTTTCTCTCCAGACTGAACCTTACACTTTTTAAAAAAAATTATTTATTTATTTATTTAGTCATTTATTTTTGGCTGTGTTGGGTCTTCATTGCTGTGTGCGGGCTTTCTCTAGTTGCGGCGAGAGGGGGCTACTCTTTGTTGTGGCACACAGGCTTCTCATTGCGGTGGCTTCTCTTGTTGTGGAGCACGGGCTCTAGGCGTGTGGGCTTCAGTAGTTGTGGCACGTGGGTTCAGTAGTTGTGGCGCACGGGTTTAGTTGCTCCGCGGCATGTGGGATCTTCCTGGACCAGGGCTTGAACCTGTGTCCCCTGCATTGGCAGGCTGATTCTCAACCACTGTGCCACAAGGGAAGTCCTGAACCTTCCACTTTTTGAGAGCACAGACTGTCTTCATCAGTTCACTGTTCCCCACAGAGCCTAGGATGGCACTGGGCACGTGGCAGATTTTCACAAACTGATAATTGATTCATGGCAGGCAAGAAGGAAAATTTCAGTATCGGCAAGAGGCTAGTTGTGGACTTTTCAGAGCAGTGGAAATTTAACCTGAAAATTAACCACACAGTTACAAAGAAGGTGAAAGCCATCGAAGATTTTATGATCAAGAATGATTTCTAATGCCACGATTTTACCGAAAGAAAACTGTGTCAGTTAATTAACTTCTACAGTAATTTGTTAGCTGTTCATTATACTCTCCTGTTTTGACTAATGAAAACATTTAGAGCTGCATCTTTATGAAAACTAAGTAGTCCAGGCAGTTTGACTGTCTTAGAATAATTAGAGAATTTTGCATCGTCATCCAGTGGGATGCCTACCTCTCCCTGTGCAGCTTCACAGAATACTTTTTCTGTTTCCTCTTCCTTCCCTCCTTAGTGTCTGTTATTTAAGCCCAACTCCTCAACTTATCACCATAAAACATTTTACAGACATTTATAGGACTGATGTGGCTGAACTAAACTATTATTAATTTACTAATTAGGATGGTAAGAAGACAAATTTTATCCCTATGTGAGATGATTTAGGGAAATTTATCATATTAGGGCTTAAAGTTGTTTTTCTAATTTACATGAAGGGCTAAACCAGGAAAGGCAAATGTGTGGTAAATATGCTTCCCTCAGCCCTTCCGTCCCCATGATACACATCCGTAATTTATAATGCCACTCTTTTCCTCTGAGCCTACATATAACTTCACGATTCTTCTCAACACAGCACTATAGACAGCAAGAGGTTGGGATTGGCATGAAAGATGAACTAGACAGGTAACAGCTCCTATAAGACTGTAAACTCCTCACGAGTAGGCACCAGGTCCTTCGTAAATGGATTTTGGAATGAATGATGGACAGAGAAATTGATGAATTAATGGCTGCATGAATGATATTTCCTTTTTTTTTTCCAAAACTGGTCCAGGAAAGCCTTGGGATACTTGCATCTCTGTGTTGTAGGGAGTGTGCTTTGTACCACCACGTGCCTGTGAACACTAACTCATTGAATGAAATTGTAGGAAAAAGAACTTAGAGAATATCTAGTGACAACTTTTCAGTTTTACAGAGATGAAAATAAAGTGCAGAGATGGCCTCCATCTAAAGGGCAGGCTCCGAAGGCAGAGCCACTCTGTCGTTTTCCACGCCTTACTGACTGCATGGCCTTTGGCCTTTACGTTGCTTCTTCATCTGTAAAGTGGGAAGAGTGATCTTGTCTGCCTTGCAGGGTTATTGTGAAGCTTTAACAAGATAAGGAATTACAAAGCATTTAGTGTAGTGCCTGGCATATGGTAAATACTAAAACAAAATATTAACTTTCTCCTTTTTCCTTCCTTTTCATTAATATTAGCTGAACCAGCGATGGTACTGTAAGTAGTTTTATCATAAGGTTTATCATATTATGTTATGCTGTGTTCCCCCCCCCACCACGTACTTTCAATGAATTGGAAGCCTATGCTAAACCATCCCCATTTTATATACATAGAAACTAAGACAAAGAGAATATAGGAATGGATTCTTATTAAATAAGAATGAAACATTTTTTTATATGGAAAATGTAACATTCCTAAATTCATTGCTCTTTTCTTTGGCTAATCATCTTGTTTCATAATACATAACATGCTTCATAGAAAATGTATTTATAAAAGTTGTCATTAAATAATGCAGGGCTGAAATTTAATAAAAAATGAGTGCCCTGAATTGTCCTTTAAAAAAGCCTCAATGTTTACATTGTATATTCCAACCTTCAGGTCATTCATTAGTTGGGGAGGTGAAGTGATTTATGTTGGTTGCCAGGAAGCACACAAAGGCAGCAGGGAGGGCTGAAACAAACAAGGCCGCATTGCTGGGAAGGTGGCCTTCAGAGGCGAGCGCTTCACTGGGGCGGAAACCTTGCAGCTGTGTTACCTCACGCCTCCACACAAGAAAATGGACTTTAAAACCACAACATGTGAATAGAAGCAAGGTTAGCCAAAGAGATTTTGAGAAATTGCTTTTCTAATGCATTTAAAATGAGTATTAGATGTTGCATTCTGTGTCAGTTGCTATAAACACAGGGGAAGCTTTTACACTTTTTAAAGTCAAGCCAGGTTAAACAGAGTATAAGGAGGGGATGTTTTAAAACAATTCAACAGTGGGTTTTGAAAATAAACTGCGGAATTAAGGAAGTGTGGGGGTTGGGAGCTTTCATTCCCTACCTCTGGGCTTGAACTTTTTGCCTCCTAATTGAGTACCTTGAAATGTACTTTGATTCTGGAATTCGATTGCTAAGTTGTTTCTTTTCAAAGGCACCTGTTGAAGGAAAAGAAAAAGAAAAAGAAAAATGCTTAGAGAGTTGATGGCTCTTAAAATGACGGCTGTTAAAAAGAGGTAAAGCCATTATGAGTTGCCAGAATGCTACACTTGAGTTGAACAAAGGATCCCAGCCCGGGCCAGAGAACCCAGAGAGAATTTCACAAGGTGAAACTGCAGAGGAAGATGCCTGCATAGCCCTGCTTGAAAACCAACTCAGCCTGGGCGACTTTGTCCAAATACAAAGAGCCTTTGAGGTAAGCGTTAATCTTATTTCCTGGAGACTTTGAGTTGCTCATGAAGGAGACCAGGATGAAACAGATTTTCTCTTAAAAGTTTTTTTTTTTTTTTTTAATATGCTTAATGGTTAAAACAGGGAACTGAAAAGAATTGGTCAGACCTGGATTTAACACCAGAGTAACTTTATCCCTCAGTTCTTCGGGACAAATAATATTATTTAGTATGAAATTGCTGCTGTTGAATATCATTACCATCCAGGAAGGAAAATGAATTCTTGGACAAATTTTTTTCTTAGAGATCAACATATTTTTGGAAAACAGAAAGTTACGACGGTGACAGGGGGAAGCCAGACCTCTAGGGTGACTCCCAATAATAACTGTCCTTGCAGGTAACATGGAAGTATCCCTCTGGAAATGCAAATAGCCACTTCCCGGTGTGCAAACATTCTCCCCTGCCTCACCCCAGCGACGCAGCTCCTTTTCAAAGCAGATTGTGGCACTTTATTGTCCCAGATCCCATGGGAGGGACCAGTCTGCCACTCTTTTTGCAAATATTGGAGCAATACCAATGAAAACAAAATTTTAAAAATTTTAATTACCATAAGAATTTTAACTGTAAATGAATAAGTTCCTTCTCTCTATCTTCATTTTGAATTCTGCAGCTATGCCTAATGAACAGCATATATCAAAATGATTCTTAGCTTCTCATGCTGATAGGAAGAAGTGCTCTTCCGTGCTGTGGAATTTAGGTAGACATGAGCCTCCATCCTTCCTGCTGCATTACAGTTGCTAAAATATGATCTCAGGGCTTCAGAATGTCCTCTGGGGTGCTTGAGAGTGTCATATTAATTTGAAACAGACATACAATGTTTGGGAATACCACCTTGAAATTAATAAAGCATGATGAAATCTCACCGTTATATTGGTCTGTAGTTGGTACAAATTTTAATCTTTACCTATCCAAAAAAAAAGAGTTGCTAACCACTGAAATACTCTACTATACCCTGTTTTGTATAACAAGTTAAATTTTACCTGTGTTGAGAATGTCCCAATAGTATCAATCATTTCTTTTTAATAGACTCTATCATATTTAGTAGCAAAGACATGCGCTGCCCTACACTTTTCTCATTTTAATCTTCATGTATTTGCAGTTCATCCAAACCCATTTGTCTGAAAGATTTTAGTGATGCTCATGTCCAATGCCCCAAATGAATCTGGCATAGTTTGATAGACATAGCAAACATTTTGACAGCTTGAGGACATTCAGAAAAACGTAACAGCAGACTAGGACAGCTTTGACTCTGGAATGAACAGAAATGTGGCAGTTTTTTTCTGGTGTTAAGAACACAAAGTTGAACGCTAGGGTCTATTAGGAGGGTCAACTGTATAAAGTCAATGTGTTAGAAAGTGAAACTGCTATAAAAGGTTAGGGGTGGGTGTTCTTTTCAAATTACCAGTTAGTCTGGAGTGAACCCAAGTGAAATAGGAAAATTGGATCTCAAGATATATATATTTTTAACTTTAAATGTTTCAAAGGCTGGATCACTTATTTTGAAATTAACCAGTTGGAACAGCAGGTACCACTGATGGACCAAAAGGGAGAAAGAAATTGCTGTTCAGGGCTTGCATGAACCTAGACAATCTAATTACAATCTTTTTTAAAAATGTAATTTAAAAAAAAAATTGAGCTTTGCAGGCATACTTCAAGAAAAAATGAAGTCCATCGATTTTTACCAGATTCAACAGACAGAATGGAACGATCCAATGGCAAATGTACAACCGGGAATAAAAGTTAGGCCCTTGAGACAACACGGTTTCCACACACAGCATGGACACCTAGAGAAGAATCATATACTAGATGATTTCTGTGGACTCTCTTCCATCTGCCATGAGCGTTGGACCCGCAGGCCACAGGTGTAGATTGTTGTGAAAAGAAAAATTGCCCTCAGGGGCTGTCCTGCAACACAGAACCCCAAAGTCAGTGATCTGTAGTCCAGTCACTAAAGACATGCTCTTGGAATGCCACGATTCTGGCACTGGATCCTTTCATCTCCTATTTTGTTTTTTGTACTCAGATTGCTTATTTGGGGTTGAAGAGTTTTCAGACAGTAGGTAAAGTCCATGTCCTTAAATAGCAGTAGCAATGCTTTATTGAAAAATGGGAAGCTGAGTCTTCCTGTAGTCAATGTTTCACATATGTTTCCAAATGAGATATTACCTACCATATAAATCTTAGTAGTAACATTTAGGAATGAAGTGAGTAATGCTTATGTTTATTGCATGGTGGTATATGAGTCAGAATCACTTAGTGTATAAGAGTCAGGGGTCAGACTTCTTGGATTTGAGTCCCAGTTTTGCCACCGACAATGAGACTTTGTGCAAATTGCTTAATCTCTCTGAGCCTCAGTTTCCTTTGTTTCTAACGTGCGAATAATAGGGTTGTTGTGAGGATTAAATGGGGTATTATCCGGAAAGCACTCGAAAGAGTGCTTGACACAGAAAAAGTGCTCAATTAACATAGGTATTATATGTTCAGTGGGTAGAGGTTGAACTATATGGTCTTTAACATTCTCTTAATTTTAACTCATGCATTTCCTAAAAAAAAATTAAGCTTTGAATAACACTCACAACTATGCTTTTACATTCCTTTTAATTGGGGTAGGAAATGGAAGCAATGTGTTGCAAAGACACAAATTCACATAGGAGAGTACAAAAGCATCGTCTTTCCATGTCTTCATATTCTATTAGCATGTGAAAGATTTTAAGTGATGTCTTGATCCTCTTCTTTAGAACAAAGAAGTTATCTGGATAGAAGTACTAGAAAAGTAACTTGTGCATTTCTTTTTCTTTCAAGTGATGGTGCCCAAAAAGTCATATATCAGCTCGCAGGGAATGAAACTTGTATTATTCATAGAATTGTAAAATGCTTGTTACTTAAACTTTCCTGTAGCACTTGTAACGCTTAGAGAAATGATGTGGTCTCTGGATATTCATATTGTTTTAATGTCAAACATATTTTATATTTTCTTAGATACTTCAGAAGTCAGTTACTGTGTGAGGAAGGATGGCTGTGATTTGCTAATTTTATAGGAATTCTGAGCAATAGAAATTATGGTCCAAGGGAAATGGAATTTTGGAAAAGCCGCATTGAGACTTGATGTATACTGACTTTCTTCCAAGACTGTGGCTATGTAGGTTCCTGAATATTTCTTTTCTTTATTTCTCCATCGTTGACCACTTCATGTCAGGACAGTCTGCTCTTTGATCTTGGAAGCCTTGTTGCCTATTTGGCCTGTATCTAGTTTGCCTATACTGCTGGACTCACTGGACTGGGTCCTGACCTGCCTCTGTCAGCAACTGTGTCTGTATCACCTCCTGGTACATTCTTTCTGGCCCAGAGCCATGGCCTGGCCCTACCCTGTCTACTCCATGCTGCTGTTTGCCGAAGTCCTACTAAATCTTTAGGTTAAATAGCTTGAAATGAAATCTCCTAAACCGCATGTAAAAGGTGAACTATTTCTGCTTAAAGTAGGAAGGGCCAGGACAGTTCAGTGTGAGAAAGGAAGAATAAAAATCCTAACAGGAAGTCCCCAGAGATGTTAGGGGAAGGTTCTCTGAACAAACTTGTCTTGGGGAGCTGAATGGAATCTAAACACAACACACTTGTGCTGACAATCTAAAAAGACCAGAGAAATTCAGAAGGCACTTTTGCAGGTCTGAAAATTGTGCTTAAGGTATAATAAATGATTAAATCCACAGAATGTATGACATCTTCATGCTTGATTGTCTTTATAAAATTCCCAAGATTCCTGTCTACAGTAGGGCCTATGAACAACGCTTCCTTGTACCAACAGGACAACCTGAGAGTTCTGATGCCCTGCTGGGCAAGCTAGACTCTAAGGGAATACAGTCAGTAACTGTTACAAAAAATTTAATTACATACATTTACAATTAAATAAATCATATTAACCCCCCCCCCCAAAAAAAACCAAGACCTCCTGCCCCACCCCTTCCATCCTTACCTCTCCCAGGGATGAGAAGGAGAAATGAGGAACCCGCTTGGTGGTGACAGTGTTGGTCTGTATTTTTAAAGTGAGGTGGGGCTAATCTATTATAGGCTATGAGATTGAAAAAAAATATACAGACAATCAGATTCCCACCTTTCCATTATTTATTCTTCTTTCCGAACTGTCAGGATTCTCCCAGTTCATTAGGGACCCGCCTTCTCATTGCTCACTGTATCTTCACTATTAAGTTACCCAAATGGACAGGCCTTCCTGGCTATGGCTCATGTTCCAGAACTATTCTTACCTCTTGCTTCTTTCTTTTCTACCCCAGACATCACCATTCCAAACACATAAATAAAATCACCCATCTTTGTTTCATTCCCTTTCCTCAGAACTGTTAGATTTTGTTTGCCTCTGTCAAAATATGAGACAGCCCATGAAGATCATTTAAAAAATACATTTTTAAGATAAGACTGATAGTGAAAAACTGTATATTAATGGAATCCAATAAAGTTCCAAAATTAGAAAATCTTTATTTTTATAGGGTGTGCAAACTGTGTAAAATATATAATAGCACATTCATGATAAAGACTTATTTCTTGCTCATATAGAGAGCAGATATTTCTAATAGGCAGGCAGCTCCAAGTAGGGATTCTGGTCCCCAGGCTCCTTCCATCTTCCTCCTTCCACAGTGGCCATATGTCAAGCTAGTCATGGGGAAAGAGCATGAAGGAGCACATGGGGAAAGGTTTTGTGGGCCAGGTTCCCGTCCCAATTGCAAGGCCATCTGGAAAGTGTAGGCAGGTGTGTGCCCAGAAAACAGTCTCACCCACAATCCTTAGAGTGAATGGTAGGAAAATTTCCATCTCTCCTAATAAACCAGCATACTTATCTCATAAATTAAGGAAAGTCGTGTGCCTAATGGTGTTTTGTGTTTCGCCTTAGCTGCCAGGAAGTTCAAAGCTAAATTCAGAGTTCAACTGATACAACTATTCTTAACATAGATTTTTC